TGCGCACTGTGTGCTTAAGACCATGCTCTGTCATGTTAACGTGGCCTACCACTTGGTGGCTTAATTGCTGTTGTTCCCAGTTGCTTCCACTTTGTGGAACAGCCAGCCAGCAGACCACAGAGCAAGGAACCCTGGGAGAATTGTTCTGTCAGAGATCCTGTTAGCCCCAGGATAAGGGGTAGCATGTCCCAGGTCAATCCACACTTATTGTGAACATCAACATTTTGCTGCCGGCTGAACCCCAGAACCTCCATAAATCCAGTCTAGAGATACATAAATTGTGTCTGCAGCACAGAGAAGGAAGATTATCCGAGAGAAATCCAGGAATACAGGACGGGGAACACAGCTCAGGAAAGTGACCAGGGGATTACAGGCTGATATCACCCAGTCCCCGCCCTACTCTGGACCAATCAGTGAGCAGTATGGGTGGAGGAATGGATTTAGTGTTCATGACCCACCTGTGCTGATCTCTGTAGGAGTGTCCTCCTCTATAAATGTCCCCGTTATTCCATCCTCCTCCATAGACTGCTGATCATCCCTCACATACGCCTCTTCTTCTTCTGCTTTCACCTCAAATTCATATCGATTGATCTCCACTCTAAATCAAGGTGAGAGAAAATATCATCTGTAAAATAGAAGGTCACATAAAATATCCACACATGACCATCTCTATGAGTTGGTAACAATGCAGATAATGTACAGATCCTAATGATACTATCAGTGATTGTTCCTCATCTACCTGATGATGGTGAGGGATGGTGTGACCTTCCTGTGTGGAATCCCGGGAATACAGAGGACGGGGACATCTCTCTGGTGGGTTCCCATGACTGGATCCATCTGTAGGAAACACACACACTGACTGAATCCATTGTTTCTATGTGTTTATCAGATGATGGGGGATCTAGGTGGATCCTCCGTACTGCTCTCTCCTTTACAATAAAGTCTCCTCTTACCCGGTGATGTGAGGGGCGGCTGATTGTCCATCATGACGTCCTTGTAGAGATCCTTGTGTCCTTCTAAATACTCCCACTCCTCCATGGAGAAATAGACAGTGACACCCTGACACCTTATAGGAACCTGACACACACAATGATACAGTCACCATCCAGACACATCCCTTGTCTGTTACTGGAGAATGTCCCAGAATTCCCGGCACCGCTCACCTCTCCTGTCAGCAGCTCCATCATCTTCTTGGTGACTTCTAGAATCTTCTGCATGTTGTGTCTCTCAGGGTTTAGGGAGTCACATGGAGGCACTGTGATGGTCATATGATCACCTGACTTCAGAAGAGGAAATCTCTGTATTGAGGAACCAATAGGAATATCATGTTAGACTCCCAGAATCCTCCTCACCTCTCCGGTCAGGTCTGTGTTTTATTAATAGAGATGACAGTGTGATGTCATGTGACCTCCCAGAATCCTCCTCACCTCTCCGGTCAGCAGGTAGTTTTATTAATAGGGATGAGGTTTAGTATCTCTCAGTCATGTGAATCTCTCCTCACCATCCTCATTGGTGGGTCATGTGGTTTTCTCTGTATTAATGGATAGCAGAGAATTATCTGGACTGTATTGGTTGTACAATATCAGGATGGGGATATAAGGGGTTAATAGACGGGCTGCTCCCAATGGGAATTGGAACATTTAGATCGGCTTACTTAGTGTTTGTTGTGTTTCCTGCAAGCCTGTAGAAGGCCCCAAAATATTTTTTAAACTCTTGCCTACCAGGCACTTTCACATTTTCCTTCCCAGGCCAGTTTTCAGTACTGGTCGCACTTTGAATGACAATTGCGCGGTCATTCAACACTGTACCCATATAAAATTTTAATTTTCTTCACATAACTAGAGCTTTCTTTTGATGGAATCTTAGATCACTGTTTAGTGGTTTTTTGTTTTCTGCTAAATTAACAAAAAATATTTTTTAAAATTTTGAAAAAAAATACTTTTTATTTTTTCTGTTAGGTTTGCAAATGAATAATTGTTCTTCATGAAATTAGGCCGAGATGTATTCTGCTAATGTCTTTGGTGACCCAATAACCCATTTTTTGAGACAGATGGAGCTTTCTTTTGGTGGTATTTAATCACCTCTGGGTTTATTTTTTGCTAAACAAACCAAAAACAACTGAAAATTTAGAAAAAATAAGTTTTTTTTTCTCAGTTTCTGCTATAAAATTTTGTAAATGAGTAATTTTTCTCCTTCACTGATGTGCGCTAATTAGGCTGCAGTGATGGGCACTGATAGGTGGCACTGTTGGGCATTGACAGGCATCACTGTGGGCACTGAAAGCAGCACTTATATATGTCACTGATAGGTGGCACTGACTTGAACTGTTAGGTGGCACTGGTAGGTGGCACTGTTGGGCATTGACAGGCATCACTGGTGGGCACTGAAAGGCAGCACTTATATATGCACTGATAGGTGGCACTGACAGGCGGCACTGATAGTTGGCACTGAAAGGCAGCTCAGATTGGCACTGATATGTGGCATTGATGTGCTCTGGTAGGTACTGATATGTGGCATTGATGGGCACTGACAGGTGGCATTGGTGGGGCTACACTGATAATCAGTGCCCTGATGATCAGTGTAGATGTCCCCTCTGAGGATTGCCGATTACCGGCTCTCCTCTCTCCTCACGAGCAGTCAGTGTGACCGGCGTTTTCTTATTTACATGCGATCAACTGTGATTGGACACAGCTGATCACATGACAGAGCCAAAGTCATCGGCTCTTTCCACTGATCATGATCCCGTGTCCCAGCGCTGCGGTTAGAGTTAGACATCATGGGGTTTATTTACTAAAGCTGGAGAGTCCAAAATCAGACTCCCTTCTGCATAGAAACCAATCAGCTTCCAGGTTTCATTGCCAAAGCTTCATTGAACAAGCTGAGGTTAGAAGCTGATTGGTTTCTATGCAGAAGGGAGTCTGATTTTGGACTCTCCAGCTTTAGTAAATAAACCCCTATAAGACATCCTCCCAGAATGAGAGAACCTCCACATGGCCATGTCATTTCCTGATATGGAGGGCAGGAGATGGTTAATATAAGGAAAAAAAAGCTCATCTCTTGTCCTTTGACTGGAGACAGATACAGTGGGGCAAAAAAGTATTTAGTCCCCACCAATTGTGCAAGTTCTCCCACTTACAAAGATGAGAGAGGCCTGTAATTGGCATCATAGGGAGACCTCAACTATGAGAGACAAAATGAGAAAACAAATCCAGACAATCACATTGGCTGATCTGGAAAGAATTTATTTGCAAATTATGGTGGAAAATAAGTATTTGGTCACCTACAAACAAGCAAGATTTCTGGCTCTCACAGACCTGTACCTTCTTCTTTAAGAGGCTCCTCTGTCCTGCACTCATTACCTGTATCAATGGCACCTGTTTGAACTTGTTATCAGTATAAAAGACACCTGTCCACAACCTCAAACAGTCACACTCCAAACTCCACTATGGTGAAGACCAAAGAGCTGTCGAAGGACTAGTCCTTTATTAATAAACATGACTAGTCCTTTATTAATAAAAAAGATTTCCCCAATGTAAATGTCACGGATAAGGCACGCCCACGGTGACTAGCCTACCAAAGCGTGGTCCGTGACTGGGGTAAAGAGGGAGTGAGGGGGACTTACTTTGAGCATATAAGACTGGTCATGATACACTTTCACAGCCCGCACTACCTCTGGCCACCACTAGAGGGAGACTCCAATCCAATCTGGCTGATCACACACAGGCAGATATGAATCTTACATACAATCTGGTGCACTCTAAGGGTGGGGGTAGCAGTCTAGCAATTGGCACACCCTTCTAGGATTCCTCTAGCTATCCTAAAAGCTAGAACCCCGGCGTTAATCACTGTTCCTACTGTCTACACACCCCCTCACCAGATCCACACTTGGTACCTTGCCACAACCCAACAGTTTGTCCACAGACTAGTCTGCTTGGCCACCACACACACACAGATCTCTGTCCGGCCAGATATGAGCCCAAGCTTAGTACACAGAAGTCACTTATTATTTGTATGACTTAATATCCTGAAAATGGGCAGGGTAAAAAATATGTACAAAGAAAAAAAGAGTTACAAAGAATACAAAAAAATACACACAAATTGGTATTCACTATAAAATAAAAGGGAATAAAAACAGAAATAAAACTTTTGCCAAGATTTATCCTGTGACTGGAGCAAGTCAATGAAAGTCTGCGATTCGCCAGCCAAATAGACTCGGCTCCATACGAATCACACTGTCCATATCTCAGGGTATACAGTTTATTGAAAAACGGATGGTGGGTGGAACTTTAACCCTTGGCCAATCAACTCTCAGGGGTGTTGTTGTACCAGCCCACAGGACGTTCTGTGTTTTGAAGTGCCCAATCTTGAATGGACCAGGAACGGTTCAGATCACTGAGTCAGGGATAGAATTTCCAACACCAGCGCATCAGTCCAATTGCGACAGTACCAATCACTGTTCAGCTATATCAGGCACCATAGAACCATTCTGTGCGTTTCTCTGGGATTCTACAGAGGCTACAAATACAGTTTTACATGTAGATGGATCCTACGGTGTGTCCAATCAGAAGGAATTATTTCCATCTCTCTGCAACTAATATTTTAGTGAAACAGATTCCTCTTATCTGTGAATATAAATCCAAGCTGGCAGACATTTCAGAAGCTTCTCCTGGTCACTGCTGTTTCTAGCCAAAAAGGCTAAAGCTCTTCTTTTAAAATTCAAGGTGAGAACGGCTTGTCTACTTAGATAGCAAAGCTCCATTGGCATCCAGGTGACACCACTAGCCTAGAAGCTACTCTGTCCTTCCAGATGCTGATTGGTGAATACTGTATATGTCTGTGACTGAATAATGAACACTTATCTGTAATAACATGGAATGAGACAAGATTGACAAATTACATATTTCTACTGATCACATCTCAACTACTGATACAATGATTCTACTCTTACATTTACGTTACAGTAAATCCCTCGTCAATCATCCAACAATGCAGATCTACATCATAAACCAGTTGCCATCCAGCCAATAGCACAAAGGCGCGTGGCGAGCAGCTCATCCTCTGGGTGGATGCCATATGGCATCCTTTCAGTCATGCGCAGTTTTCCTGCCCGCAAAGCCGTGCAGCAGCGCAAGCTGTCACCGGCCGTGTACTTCGGCCAGTACTGTGACCTGCCAGTACCATGTGACCTGCTGTGACCAATCACAGCAGGTCACATGACAGTTGTATACAATGGATGGCTTCCTTTCATACCGTCCATTGTATACTAGTGTGTCTAGCTGTGAATGGTCGCAGTGATCACATGCGCAAACTGGGCCAATCACAGCCCAACTGTGTCATGTGATTAGCTGTGGCCAAATCACAGTTAAGCATAAAAAAACCCTGAATGAATCGATTTCATTCAGGTAAATGCTGGCTTATGGCAAAGTAATTCTTTGCTATAAGAAAATTGTGTAAAAAAAATAAATAAATACTGATCACTTCCCCAAAGTAGTACAATGTTACTATGGTAACATTATACTAGTTTGCTCATAGTGAAATATGAAAAAACATCTTAAAAATAGAGAAAAAAAATTTAATAAAAAATAATTTAAAAAATCATTTTTTTTTTCCCCCATACTGTCACCAGTCAGTGTCCCTGATCACCACCATGCCAGTTATATGATGACGCTGTACTGCACTGGTGACAGGATGCAACAAAATAGTGAAAATCATTTTTTTTATTTCTTCATTTCCGAAAAATTATGACAAAAAAATTACAACTTCAAAAAACTCGCCATGACTGTTATAAAATACGTCGGACTGTCTACTTTTCAAACAGGGGTAATTTGGAGGATATCTGTACCGTTCTGACATTTGGGGGGGATATCTGTACCGTCCTTACATTTGGGGGATATCTGTACTGTTCTGACATTCTTGGACCTCAAGAAATGAGATTGGCTGTCAGTACTTCAGGATTGATCAATTTTCGGATATCTCCCATAGTTTGTGAACTCTATAACTTCCCTACAGACTAAATAAAACATCCTAATTTGGGTTATTTTCACCAAAGACATGTAGCAGAATACATCTCGGCCTAAATGTATGAAGAACAATTATTTATTTGCAAACTTTTATAACAGAAACAAAGAATAATGTGTTTTTTTTTCAAAATGTTTGGTCTTTTTTGTTAATTTAGCAAAAGATAAAAACCCCAGCTGTGATTAAATACCACCAAAAGAAAGCTCTAGTTGTGTGAAGAAAATGATAACATTTTAGTTTGGGTACAATGTTGTATGACCGCGCAATTGTCATTCAAAGTGTGAGAGCGCTGAAACCTGAAAAATGGCCTGGGCAGGAAGGGGGTAAAAGTGCCCGGTATGGAAGCGGATAATAATGAACAATGCCAAAACACATGCTGACCACCAACACGATCCGTTTCCAGCGACTACTCACGATGATTGACAACTCACAGTGACTAAGGATGGACATGACAGGGGTTACTGGGTGTAAATAGAAAATAACATCTTATTACCTCCTCTGCTGCCACTTCCACCAATGCCTTCTCTCTACTTCCTACCTCATGGAACTTCCTCTCTATATCTGTCTGTACCTGACATCATTTCCTGTCTGTACCTGACATCACTTCCTGTCT